AGGTTGTACTGGTGTTTTCCCTGTGAGGGAGCTCACAGAATGAAAATGGAAGCGTGGGGGCTACACACCTGTAATATCTAAAAGCAGGATTAAACCATGAAAGTCGTTACCGTGGTGTTTTACGGTTTCGCTCTGGGGCTTCTGGCGGTAGCCTTGCAGGAGTTGTTGAATGGCTTCGAAGAAAACAGATGCAGTATGACCTATATGTTTGAATACCCAGAGTACCGGGTGAGTAGACGGGCTAATTATTGGACTTGACACAAAATGACATCAGTATGAGACTGCGCCTTTTTCTCGCAAAAGCAAACACATTTTAATTCCAACCTGAACAGGCAGCATACATTATTTTTTGTCAATCGTGTTATGTGCTATTTCCTGAATAAAACCCGCTAACTGAGTGGGTACGCTGCTCACAGCCAAGCTAATGTACTACCCCAAACCTGTCTGGCTGCTTGGTGGTCTGCGTGCCTGTTGACAGTTCGGCTTAGATTAGCCAAAATTAGCCTGGTTCTAAAACCAAAAATGAGCTGCTGCTCCTCGAGTCCTCCGAGCAAGTCACCAGCAGATCTTCGCTAAAGATACGGACACACTATCGTTAAAAGTCGGGTGGACACAGTGGAAGTTGCTGTTGATGAAGGTCTCCTTCCTTTTCGCTGTATTCTCACTAATGTGTTCATCTGTCCAGAAGTGGAGCACATCTGGAGGCAGTGCACTGTATGGCCATGGGTCAGACAGGTGTATGTGCTTTTTGTTATGGCACAGGGGCCCATAGCCTATTTAAGGAAACCTTTTTAACCTGTGTATACTGTTAATGGACGTGGTCTGTTGAATCAGGGCCAGCTCAGAGTGAGGGAACGATGAACAGATTGCACACTAATGCTTGTTGCTTGCTTTGTCCAACCACTAACAGTCAAAAACTCAAGCCTGTTCAACTTACAGTAATGTAAAACTGAGAAAAGTAGTAAATCCTCACATTTGACCAGCTGGAAAGGGCACATTTTTGGCAGTGTTTCTGTACTTAAATCATTCACAGAACATCAGAATAATTGCAGAATACGTTCTCCAATGTGGCTACTTGAGTAACTGATTGGCATTGCACAGCCCTACTAGATTACTAGATGTGTAACAGTTGTACCACTGTTAATAACAAAGGTGGACATCTCCCTGTATGTTTCATACCAGATGAACATCGATGTTGAAGTGATTTGAAGTCACAGTATGCTCTAGCATTTCATTATGACTCAGATTAAACCTGAGTATGCTGTGTGCATTCAGAGGAGGTGGACAGCAGGTCAGGGAGATGTAGTAGGCTGCGCTCCTGTAGTCACTTTACTGTGAGATTGTTGCATGACAAAATGTTAATGAAGGAGCTGATATTGAATGCCACTGTGTGACTTCACCTCCCACTCCTAATGTGTCTGTGCTGGCGCTGCAGCGTGTGGCTCTGCCGCG